CCATAGAATCAGGCATGAGGGAATCAAAGTCGATGAAGTCAGTAAAGTCAATTACTTCAGTGAAGTCAGTGAAGTCTGTAAAGTCAGAACCGACACTAGAGTCTGATGTTGATAGACTTTTAGAACCTGGTAGGAGGGAGTCAACAGAAACAAAGTCAATGAAGTCAACAAAGTCATTGCAGTCAGTACAGTCACTGAAGTCAGTAAAGTCAGTACAGTCACTGAAGTCAGTAAAGTCAGTACAGTCACTGAAGTCAGTAAAGTCAGTACAGTCACTGAAGTCAGTAAAGTCAATACAGTCACTGAAGTCAGTAAAGTCAGTACAGTCACTGAAGTCATTACAGACTGATGATGGTGTGCTAATAGAGCCTGAACCGGAAAGAGAGTCAGTGAAGTCCAAGTCAATGCAATCAATTAAGTCAGTGACGTCAATGCAGTCAATGAACTCAGAAATGTCATTGAAGTCAGTGAAGTCAGAGCCTGATATTGGTGGACTATCAGACCCTGGCAGGAGGGAGTCAAAAGAAAGAGAGTCAATGAAGTCATTGCTTTCAGTACAGTCATTGAAGTCAGTGAAGTCATTGAAGTCAGTACAGTCATCCCAAGATGTTAGTTCATTTATAGAATCAGGCATGAGGGAATCAAAGTCAATGTCAATGCTGTCAATGAAGTCTATTCAGTCATTGAAATCAGTAAAGTCAGAGAATTCAATGACAACAGTAAAGTCAGTGCAGTCATTGAAATCAGTACAATCATTGATGTCAGTGCAGTCACTGAAATCAGCAGCAGAGGTAGAGTCTGAAGTATCAGTTTCAATGAAGTCTGCAAAGTCAATTCAATCCTTGAAGTCAGTAAAGTCAGCTCAGTCATTGATGTCGCTAAAGTCAGTTCAGTCGTTGAAGTCAGTGACGTCAGTTCAGTCATTGAAGTCAGTCAAGTCAGTTCAGTCATTGAAGTCAGTCAAGTCAGTTCAGTCAGCATCTGAAGTCTGTAGTCCAGCTGATTCTGTCCATGAGAAAGATGTGGAGGAAGGAGATGATGCTGAGGAAGTGGAGGAGGAAGATGTGGAGGAAGGAGATGATGCTGAGGAAGTGGAGGAGGAAGATGTGGAGGGTGTAGTTAAGGTGGAGGAGGAGGAGGAGGAGGAGGAGGATGAGAAAGAAGAGGTGGAGGAGGAAGAGGAAAAGGTGCATAATGGAGGGGAGGGAGATTATGAGGAGGAGGAAGAGGAGGAGTTGGTGGAGGAGGAGGAAGTTAAGGATATGGAGGGAGATTATGAAGGGGAGGAGGAAAGGGTGGAGGAGGAACGGGAGGAGGGAGATGAGGTGGAGGAGATAGAGGAGCGGTTGGCAGAGGAGGGGTTGGCAGAGGAGGGGTTGGCAGAGGAGGGGTTGGCAGAGGAGGGGTTGGCAGAGGAGGGGTTGGTAGAGGAGGAGTTGGTAGAGGAGGGGTTGGCAGAGGAGGAGTTGGTAGAGGAGGGGTTGGTAGAGGAGGAGTTGGCAGAGGAGGGGTTGGCAGAGGAGGAGTTGGCAGAGGAGGGGTTGGCAGAGGAGGGGTTGGCAGAGGAGGGGTTGGCAGAGGAGGAGTTGGCAGAGGAGGAGTTGGCAGAGGAGGGGTTGGCAGAGGAGGGGTTGGTAGAGGAGGAGTTGGTAGAGGAGGGGTTGGCAGAGGAGGGGTTGGCAGAGGAGGGGTTGGCAGAGGAGGAGTTGGCAGAGGAGGGGTTGGCAGAGGAGGGGTTGGTAGAGGAGGGGTTGGCAGAGGAGGGGGTTGGCAGAGGAGGAGTTGGTAGAGGAGGGGTTGGCAGAGGAGGGGTTGGCAGAGGAGGGGTTGGCAGAGGAGGGGTTGGTAGAGGAGGAGTTGGCAGAGGAGGGGTTGGCAGAGGAGGAGTTGGTAGAGGAGGAGTTGGCAGAGGAGGGTTGGCAGAGGAGGGGTTGGTAGAGGAGGAGTTGGTAGAGGAGGAGTTGGCAGAGGAGGGGTTGGCAGAGGAGGGGTTGGGAGAGGAGGGGTTGGTAGAGGAGGGGTTGGCAGAGGAGGAGTTGGCAGAGGAGGGGTTGGCAGAGGAGGAGTTGGTAGAGGAGGAGTTGGCAGAGGAGGGGTTGGCAGAGGAGGAGTTGGTAGAGGAGGAGTTGGCAGAGGAGGGGTTGGCAGAGGAGTTGGTAGAGGAGGAGTTGGTAGAGGAGGAGGTTAATGATGAAAGAGATGAAGAGGAGGAGGAGAAGGAGGAGAGAGAAGAGGTGGAGGAGAGCGATGACAAGAGATCTGAATCTGATTTTGAAGAAGGCAGAAGTGTTGATAGTCATCCATCATCAGATAGCAAAGTCTGTTCCAGTGGCAGGATGTTAGAGGAAGTCTGTTATATAGAAGAGGAGGGAGAGGGCACCTGGGAGGAGCAGAACTATGATGAGGGGGAGCGGGTGGAAGAAGAGGAGGCAGCAGAGGTAGGGTCTGAAGTATCAATGTCAAGGAAGTCAATGAAGTCTGGAAAGTCAGAGAAATCAGAGGTATGGTCTGAAGTATCAATGTCAAGGAAGTCAATGAAGTCTGGAAAGTCAGAGAAATCCATCAAGTCAGAGAAATCAGTAAAGTCAGATAAATCAGAGCTAGAGTGTAAAGCATCAGAGCAGGGTGGAAAGGAGTCAAAGAAATCAATGAAGTCAGAAAAGTCAACAAACTCAGTAATAAAAGATAAGTCAGAGAAATCAAAGAAATCAGCAATAACAGATAAGTCAGAGAAATCAATGAATTCAGTCAATTCAGAAAAGTCAATGACTTCAATGCAGTCTGCAAATTCAGATAAGTCTGCTGTAGAGTGTAAAGTCTCAGAAGACGAGGAGGTTGACGCAGTGTCCAACAACTCCTCCTCTGGAGCCATAGACCTCCGCAGGGTCAACGGTCAGGGTCTAGACGCCTCCAACGAAGGAGAGGAAGAAGAGGATGAGGAAGAAGAGGTCAGAGGTCAAGACTGCTCCCATCCTGTGGAGATATCTCAGGAGCTTCTAGACTTCGTCAACACTGCTCTGAACTCCTCCTCCCTGATGTTCACCTACGACCCTAAGGGTAACCTGCGGATCGAGCCGGAGAGGGCAACCAGGGTCGTCCATACCAAACAGATGTTTATATTTAACGGGAGCGTGGACAGCCAGTACGGCCTGAAGAGACTGCCCAGCCCCAACACCTCTGACCTGTCTGACTACAGACCTGAGACGTCCAGCAGCGGAGGGTACAAGAACCAGGCGTCAGTGGACATGTCCACGGAGAGCGAAGACGGAGACAAGGAGGAGGCAGGGAGACACTCGCCTGGCTCTCGACCTATCAGACAGACTAGTGACAAGCAGAGTAAAGCCAGTACCACCTCTCTGGAGCTCTGGGCCTCTAAACCCTCGTCAGAAACTAAAGCAGATCAGTTAGAGAATCCCGAGAGTCTTGAAGGGAAGAGGCCCACAAGGAGCTTTGAGTCTCGTGACTCTGGGGCTAAAGTCTCTGGGGAGAGCCTGTCGTACGTTAGCGGGTCCAGCTCAGTGAAGACAGAACCAGGACCAGAGCCAGTCAGGATGATCGATCAGGGGCGATGGCTGCTCAAGGAGGGGGGCTCTCCTGAAGGGGTGGGAGGAGCGTGGCAGAGCGCAGCAGACTCTAAGAGCCTCCCTGACTCTAGTGAGGGGGTCCTGATTGACCAGGGGCGTTGGCTCCTTAAGGAGAATCACCTAATCAGGAAGTCTCCCCCGGTTCCCATGGGGATGTACGGTAACCTTGACAACACGTCTGTGGATACGACCCAGGATAACAACAGTGAGGAGGCTCGAGCCTACGACCACCACTCCTCTCACCACTCTGCCTGTTCCCACCACCACCACCTCAACCCCTTGGCTGTCCTCTCCTCCTCCGAGCTAGAGGAGCTGGCCCGACCTCCGACCCCTAAGTGCACCTACTACAACATGTCTCATAGCAGCGACTCAGACCCCTTCCTGGACGACCTCAGCCTCAACGGGAACGGGGCCAGGGAGAGGTCAGAGGGAGGGGATCAGGGAGAGGTCAGAGGGAAGGAGCCAGGGAGAGGTCAGAGGGAAGGGGTCAGGGAGAGGTCAGAGGGAAGGGATCAGGGGTTGCAGAGCAGGTGTAAGAGGGAGACAGCTGTGGAGACATCCCGGACCTGGGCCAGGAAAAACGGCAGCATGTCGTCGTTCGCCTCGGTGGAGTTCAGGATGCCGGACGGCAGGGTGCATCCGGAGGCGGGGCTGGCTGGGTCAGGGGCTGCTGTGGAGCAGAGTACCAGGACTGCAGTGGGCAGGGCTCTGCAGGTACAGGGCAGTCTGGAGTCTCTACGCTGTGGACCGCATTGTCCTATACTATAATGACTGCAATACAGACCTGTCCCATACTATAATGACTGCAATACAGACCTGTCCCATACTATAATGACTGCAATACAGACCTGTCCCATACTATAATGACTGCAATACAGACCTGTCCCATACTATAATGACTGCAATACAGACCTGTCCCATACCATATACAACACAGACCTGTCCCATACCATATACAATACAGACCTGTCCCATACCATATACAACATAGACCTGTCCCATACCATATACAATACAGACCTGTCCCATATCATATACAATACAGACCTGTCCCATACCATATACAATACAGACCTGTCCCATATCATATACAATACAGACCTGTCCCATATCATATACAATACAGACCTGTCCCATATCATATACAATACAGACCTGTCCCATACCATATACAATACAGACCTGTCCCATACCATATACAATACAGACCTGTCCCATACCATATACAACACAGACCTGTCCCATACCATATACAACACAGACCTGTCCCATATCATATACAATACAGACCTGTCCCATACCATATACAACACAGACCTGTCCCATACCATATACAATACAGACCTGTCCCATACCATATACAATACAGACCTGTCCCATACCATAATGACTACAACACAGACCTGTCCCATACCATAATGACTACAACACAGACCTGTCCCATACCATAATGACTACAACACAGACCTGTCCCATACCATAATGACTACAACACAGACCTGTCCCATACCATATACAACACAGACTGTCCCATACCATATACAACACAGACCTGTCCCATATCATATACAATACAGACCTGTCCCATACCATAATGACTACAACACAGACCTGTCCCATACCATAATGACTACAACACAGACCTGTCCCATACCATAATGACTACAACACAGACCTGTCCCATACCATATACAACACAGACCTGTCCCATACCATATACAACACAGACCTGTCCCATACTATAATGACTACAACACAGACCTGTCCCATACGATATACAAACACAGACCTGTCCCATACTATAATGACTACAACACAGACCTGTCCCATGTACGGTATCATACTATAATAATATTGGTACTGTCTGTCCAATTCTACAATGCTTCTAATACTCTCTGGTCTGGTTTCCCAGAGCCAGATAACTGTAAGACTTCTCCTGGATTAAACCGCTTGCAGCTCAATGGAAAATATACCCTTTTTATTCCAGGAATATGCTTAATCTAAGTCTGGCAAACAGGCCCTCAAGATTCAACAACAGCTTTGATCTTATCCTTTTAAATATCAGATCATTAGCTGACATATGTTTGGTTATAGTTTAGATAGAAGTTTCTGTTTCGTTTGTTGTCGTACTATAAATCTTCTTCATTGTTTGACGATGTTTTGGAGAGAGAGATGTTTCTGTTCGCTGTTGTACTGTAAATCTTTAACGTTTGAAGATGTGTTGAAGAGAGAGAGTTGTGCCTCTTATATGTGCAGATTATTATTATTATTATTATTATTATTATTATTATTATTATTATTATTATTATTATTATTATTATTATATCATGAGTGATGGAACTCAAAGCAGCAAATGTATTTTTATAACAAATTGCTGTTGAATACCACAATGTTACCACAATGTCACCTCACATATCTAGATTAAAATCTGTCTGCAATAGCAAATCAGGAACGAAATGTAATTCATAAGGGGTACTCAGATATTTGAGCTATTTATTTATTGATCATTGGTTAATGATCTGTGATCATATGTTGTTGTACTGTTTGTGGTACGTGCTGATCCAGCTTCTCTCTGTGCGATATACAGTCGGGATTTGTGAATACTGTCCAGTTCTCACCTTCACAAAACAAAGATCATGCCTATATGTATAAAACTCTAAATAATTTATGAATTACGAAGAAAACGGTACATCATGAATACTGTTAAAGGCAGCTCCTGTTATCCTCTTGTATATGTTCTTGTTTTTGTTGTGAGGATTTGGAATGTACAATATTAAATGATTCCTCTATGATAAACTGTCAAATAGAATAGTAGCTAAATTGTGTATGAAATCCTTTACTAGAGTTTCATAGTGAGTCACCTGCTGCTGTCAGTCATACTGGTGGTTACCTAGGAAACAGCCAGCTGTGTGTGACACCCTATACAGAGGTGTTCACGTCATGAGAAGGAATTCCCCCAACCACGACCACAACTTGGGGAAAACAAACACTCTTTCCCATTGATCCCCATTGTAAAAGAGCCAACTTCGTCATCGAGTTTTTTGTTATACAGAAATAACAAAACATGCTGAAAAGCTGCTGTGTTGTTCAATGTAGATGTAGCCAGTACGCAATGCTCCCACCTAGTGAAATAGAGCATGCCAGAAGAGCCCTGTGCTGTGGCTTCAGCCTATTCGGTGTGGAAGAGTGGGAAATTGTGGAAACCCGGTGTCCAAGTAGGCTACACGTAGCTATGTCTGGAAAACATTTCATCACAGGTAAGACATTTAACTCATTTAGTATAGTCTGTTAGTAACTCCACCCACTACTTGTAGCTGTATAGTCTGTTTGTAACTCCACTCACTACTTGTAGCTGTATAGTCTGTTTGTAACTCCACTCACTACTTGTAGCTGTATAGTCTGTTTGTAACTCCACTCACTACTTGTAGCTGTATAGTCTGTTTGTAACTCCACTCACTACTTGTAGCTGTATAGTCTGTTTGTAACTCCACTCACTACTTGTAGCTGTATAGTCCTGTTTGTAACGCCACTCACTACTTGTAGCTGTATAGTCTGTTTGTAACTCCACTCACTACTTGTAGCTGTATAGTCTGTTTGTAACTCCACCCACTACTTGTAGCTGTATAGTCTGTTTGTAACTCCACTCACTACTTGTAGCTGTATAGTCTGTTTGTAACTCCACTCACTACTTGTAGCTGTATAGTCTGTTTGTAACTCCACTCACTACTTGTAGCTGTATAGTCTGTTTGTAACTCCACTCACTACTTGTAGCTGTATAGTCTGTTTGTAACTCCACTCACTACTTGTAGCTGTATAGTCTGTTTGTAACTCCACTCACTACTTGTAGCTATATAGTCTGTTTGTAACTCCACTCACTACTTATAGCTGTATAGTCTGTTTGTTTGTTGTTGGTCTTGGTAGCTTAATGTTCTGGTTGGTAGCTAGCACTCACTCATGTGGCTAACATTAGCGGCGTCATGTGAGAACGCTTGGGAGCAGACAATGTTGAAAAGTAATCTTTAGATATGATGTACTTTTCTTAAATGTAGTTTTGTAATTGACTAAAACCAGCAGGCAACAAGAACATTTGGTTTGAAAAAGGTTACGTAATCTCTGGGACAGACTTGCTGACTGGAGAGGAGCATCAAGGTGTCGGATCTCTCTTTAACTGTATGCTACCGAATAGCGTTCTATTCTAGTACTTGTGTTCTACAGGAGATGCTGGTTCTCTGTCTCAGTTAGTGTTGGTGCTGAGTACAGCTAGAGGGCGCCAGGTCAGTGAAGTCTTACGCAGTCATCTCCTGAATACTTACACACACTCACACACAGGCCTCCCCCCCCCGCCCGTCATAACACCACGCACCGGGCGCTCAACACCACACACACACAGGCGCTCATACACACGCACACAGGCGCTCATACACACAACACACAAGCGCTCATTACCACAAACACAGCAGGCGCTCATCACACACACACAGGGCGCTCATACACACACACACAGGCTTGGGCCTCATATTACACACGTCCCCCCTTCTTCTAAAAACACCACCCCCCTTCTCATCATACCACACACGGCCCCATTCCTCAACCGACCGCCAACCCCTTTCCCAGGGCGCTCATACCCACACTCACAACACAGGCCTCATAACACCACGACTCATACACACAGGCGCTCACACACACTCACACAACTCGGTCGCTCCTAACACACACACAGGCGCTCTACCACGCAACAGGCGCTCACACACACACATGCTCTCCTACACACACACACGCGCTCTACACACGCACACAGTCGCTCATACACACCACAACACAGGCTCGCATACACACCCCACAGGCAGCTCATACAACACACCACAGCTGCTTACAACGCACACAGGCGCCATACCCACATCACACAGGCGTCTACACACACACACAGGCCTCATACACACACCACAGCGCTACACGCACACAGGCACTCATACACACCACACAAGCGTCATACAACACACCACGCGCCTCATACACACACACACAGCGCTCATACACACACATGCACATGGCGCTCAATACACACCCACACAGCGCTCATACACCACAACACACATGAGGATGCCCTCATACAAACACACACACAGCGCTCCATACACACGCCACATTGCTCATACAGCACACCACACAGGCAGTCTCTCACTACACACACACATCTCTCATACACACACACATGGCGATCAACCCACCACACAGGCCGCTTCATAACCCATCACACACACCATGCGCCTCATACCCCACACACACACAGGCTCTCATACATACACAACGACACATGCGGCTCATACACACACACACAGGCGCTCATACACGCACACAGGCGCTCATACACACACACACAGGCGCTCACACACACACACACAGGCGCTCATACACACACACACAGGCGCTCACACACACACACAGGCGCTCATACAAAACCTCACACATCAGGCGCTCATACAACACACACACACAGGCGCTCACGATCACACACACCCATGCGCTCATAACAACCACACCCTGTCTCTCACAACCACACACACAGCGCTCATATACAACGCACACAGGCGCCAGACACACAACACAGGGCTCTCACCACCACACACAGGCGCTCGATACACACCACACACAGGGCTCGCATACAACACCCACCGGCGCTCATAACACACACAGGCGCTATACATACACACACAAGGGCGCTCATCTCACGACACACCACACAGGCGCTCATAAACACACACACAGGCCACTCATACACAACACCCACAATGCGTCATACCCACACCAGGCGCGTCATACACACCACCCATGCGCTCATCCGACACAACCACACAGTCTCTCATACCACCCACACAGTCGCTCATACACACACACACAGGCGTATCATTACACACACAACACAACACAGTCGCTCATACACACACACACACAGGCGCTCATACACACACACACAGGCGCTCATACACACACATGCACAGGCCTCATACAACACACACAAGGCCCCTACAACAACCCCACCGGCGCTCATCACCACCACACACATTCGCTCATAACACACAGCACATGATGCGCTCATACACACACACACAGTAGGTGGCTCATACAACACAACACCCACATTCAGGCGCTCATACACCCCAACAAACACAGGCGCTCATAACACAACAACATGCACAGGCGCTCATCACACACACCGTCTCTCATACCCACACACACACAGGCCGCATCATACAACACCACAACAGGCCTCATACCAACACAACACGCACACGCGCTCATTACCCGACACAACAACACACAGTCGCTCATAACACACCCACACAGGCTCTCATACACACACACACAGGCGCTTCAAATACACCACACACAACATGCGCCATACACACACACACAGA